AGGTCAGTGGAAGAAAAGAGGCAGGTCAGATGGCAAGACAGACACATATGGAAAGACGACCATGCAAATACCCAGCGCAAATATACGCGTTCCTAGTGTTTCCTGAAGTAACTGAATATTCATTATTTAATAATGAAATAAGTCGACATTGTGAATTTCAAGCATAATGTAGCGAAACAAAAGCGCCGCCACTAGATAACATGATAGAGTTTTTTGCGACGAAGAGCAAAAAAGACGCTGTTTTTGTTCACGGCACTTTAAAGCTTAAAGGAGTTGTTGAAAAATTGAAGTTAATATATGCATTTTGTAGATAATTATGTGTACATGTAATGATAATTTACTGGCAGTGAAAGCGCATAATTATCGAGCTGGAAGTGAAAAATTGAAAAATGTGTGAGATATTTAGAGTTTTTGTAATTTTCTTTGTAATGCCTCCCTCGAAGTGTTGAACAACAAATTTGAACGTAGCTGCCACAAAACCGGTAAGAAAATAACATCAGTTATATCGTTTTCTCTGAATATCCCGAATGCGTAGATAACAGTTTTCTGAAAAGAATTACCACACTTATTTTTCAACAGATATCTAAAGTATTTGACAGAGAACGGAATCAGGTAATATAAGTCAGTCAAAGGTAAAAACAAATTACGTATTTAACACATTTAAGTTTATTTATGTTCAGAGAATTCAAAATTAAAATAAATTTAGTCAACTCTAATCTTTACAAAATATCAGCGAGAATTCCTGAAGGTCACCTCACCGACAACTCTATTTCACATTCCGAATTTAATAAACTGCCTCAATAGTTTTACATACTGATAAGACAGCTTTTTATTAAATATCGTTTATTACAAGGAGCTATTAATAATCTTCAGAACGATCTTTATTTACTTATAATTGGGTTGATAATGTGAATATCAATATTTTTCAGAGTAAAATTCAAACAAAAAGTTTGCATTACAAAAAATTAATTCTAATTTTCAGTCATCAATAAATATTTTATTCCATGTTTAGATAATGTCATATCTATTAAATATTTAGGTATTGAGTCTGATCCTAAACTTACACGGAATAAAATCTTTTAGTTTATAACTAACAAAATCCAGTAAAAATGGTTCATTTTAATTTGTTTAATATTTCCATCAATTAAAAAAATTAAATCTAACATAGATACTGCGAAATTAATTTATACGTCCATTACATGATTTTCACTTTTGCCGATCGGATTTGGAGACGCACAGACAAATCTAACGAATCAATTACGAATCACACAAAATAAAATTTCACTAAAATATTTAAAGGACTTTGGTACATTTTAAACACTGAAATACACCATAAATTAAAATACCAAACTTTTCATAATAATGTAGAAAAAAATCAAGTTAAAACATTATGCTCTCATTCTCCATCCATACTTAAGATTTCAATATAGGACAAACTGGACAATTGAAGACTGAAATTTTCTGAAGGTTCATTTCGTCCTCCATAATTGTGTATAGAAATACCTGAAATTTAGAATTTTTATTTCCAAATTATCTACTGTTACTGCTTATATTATTATAAATTAATTGTTCAGTTACCCGATGGATTTTCGCAAAGCACCAGTTGAATACAATTTCTGCTGAATCTTTTTGAGTTTGATAATTTCTAGGCCCAAATATGAAGGTCAGAGATGATCAGGGTTAGGTTTAGTCCCAAAAATTCGATTGGGGTTAATACTCATCACTCCATAATGTATTTAAGATGTGAAGTGCAATTGCTTGTTGCTGCACTTCATAGAAGATAATTAATTATCTTTAGCGATTTCTCATCGTTACATAAATAATAATTTGATGAACCAGTTTCGGCTCAGTATCAGTTGTTTAATAGTTTGGTATCACAAATTTTGTACTTGCGAAGAAATTCATTTAAATTACCTAAAATTCTACATTTTCCAATTCACGTTACATTTTGGAATGAAAAAACTGATGCGATAATTAGTGTTTATAGAATTAAAATTAAATAAAACTCACACTGAATTGGTCAGAATATTTTTTTTGCAAAAGTACAGTGCCGATAGAGAATGTATTCGCAAGTATAACTATTCTTATTCGTGAGCTGATTTAATGTAATAAATGCAGGAAAAATATCGTGCTGTTTATATCCGTGCCTGCGAACTTCAAAATAATAATTTATTGGGTTAAATATAAAGCCAGTTTGTTGCATATTGTTATGGTCTGGATATAATAGTTAAACTTAGATACCGTTTAAGGAATTTCGAGTTATGCGAGTCATTTTGTCATAACCAGTTTCGAGCACCTGAGAAGAAGAATACTCGAAATTAAGTGGCAAAAATGTCGTATATATTAATTATTTAGTTATTAATTTTTATTTATATTTATTATGTACTTATTTTACCGTCAAAACCGTAAGAATTTGCATGAGAAAGTAAAAACTGCGCTCTATTCCTTGCCTTCCTTGGCCAATTCCTACCTCTCTTTTGAGAATGAATTTGAAGTATGAATAAAGGTGTGCAATAGCATGGTATGCACCATTTAAAAAGTATAAGTGTTGCTTTTGAGTACTACAAAACTATTTCCATCAGCAAACAAACTACGACTTTACGCATTCTGTGTGTTGAAAATTGTATTTGCGCTTCCCAGATTTACTTTTTTCATCATTAATACACATGAAGTGAAAGTGCAATTCGTCACCTCTATGTGACGTTCTCTTTCTTTTGTAACATAATTTCTTAAAAACTGAATGTGATAGCTGCAAAATGAAGTCCTACAAGCAATTCTACAGAAACAGTGATAATGATTATGATAATGATAACAATGATCATAATGCTAACAATAGATAATAATTGCCGCAGCTGCCAGAAACAATTCCAAAAGCTAATACATGCCACATTTACCAGGAGCAAGTAGAAAATATTATAAATGCCACATCCTTCAGGATCAAAGAGAAACCATTGATCACATTGTGTCTGCGCGTCCAATTCTAGCAAAGACAGAATTCATGAAAGGATACGAATGTGTGTGCAGATCCACAGTGCAGATCAGTAACGCCCTAGAAGCACCAAACACACGTCCAATTGGTGCGAACACTCACCAAAACCAATGACGTCTGTAGAAAACATTCAACGACCAAAAAAATTGAAACTGATCGCACAATAGAGACAAACAAACCACATATTTTATGTCGCTTTTTAACTACTAGGTCATGTAGCAACCACTTTGCTTTCTTTATATAGGGGTAACTGTAGGGGAACACGACACGTAAGGACAACAAGAGCACAAGCTAACATCCATATCCAAAGTGGGATCCGAACACGCGACCCTTCGAGTCGGGGCAGCTAAGGCCCTAGATGCCCTACAACTATCCAGGTCAAAACGTGTTTAGTAGATGTGGTTGTGCCGTACGATCAAAACTTCGTATCCAAGGAGACAGAGAAACGTCTTAATTCACGAGTTTGAAAATCGAGATCAGCCGAATGTGGGGCGTAAAAACACATATCGTGCCGATAGTTATCGAAGCACTGGAATTTGTTCCGCAAAATTTGTGTACGAACTTGGATACAATACCAGGGCATTCAAAAGACTCGGGTGCAAGACTGATCACAGCAGCCGGCGGCTAGAATTCTCGAGGCAGCGGCTTAACTCGACCTAGCTATGTAGCTAGTGTTGAAAATGCGATAATTTTGTATAATTAATGAAGTTGGGAGTGCCATAGGATTACTTGCGATTTCTGTCACCGGCGCGCCGACACCTTCCGTGACTAAGCGTTCCACCCGGGCGTAACGATCCGCAACTATCTCTCAGGCTTAATGGCCTGCCAGCCCTTTCGATCCTTTTCCTGCAGCGCCCTACATAAGCGGAGCGGCGGTCGGCGTCCGCGCACTTCGAGATGTGTGGGCGCTGGACGGTACTGGGCGCGCTGCTGGCGGCGCTGATTGCGTTGGCGGCGCTGGGCGCGGCGGACGGCGCGGCGACGAGCACCACGGGGCTGTGCAGGTAGGCAGGCGCTCGCCATCCTAGCCAACGAATCCCAACCCGGTATAAGAAAAAATCGCACTCCAATGGTCAGTTGCAACGAAGTAGGGCAGTCGGAAAGGAAAGGTCGCAGTTTAACATCTACGGAAATTAAATCGCAAGTTAACCTTCAAAAGCCAGAACAAGTACTTAAGTGAATACGTATTTTTATTCGTTATGCAAAGGAAAGAGAATTGGAAGTTTTGTGGACCCCAAAATCAAGGTCGAATGAAACTTGTGGCAACGTTCATAAACCGAACCGAATCACAAGGAAGGATTTTCCTACAAGTGCAGTACCCGACTCCATAATTTAGGGATACTTGTAACTTCCCTCCTTTCAAAATAGTTAATTTATTTATTTAATCCTGAAGGGTAGAATAAAAACTAGTCCTAACCTACAGGGCAACATGTATATAAATGCTCCATACAATCAAAGTGTATGTAATACGAAACAGCAATTTTTAAAACCTCCATTTAAACAATGTATTGTATTTGATTCTGGTCTAAAGGCATACATTCCACAAGTACAGGAAATTCATCTACTACCAACTACAAATATCGAAAGAAAAGAACCGATTCTGGATAGGGGCCTTCCCTGTGTGCAGGGCGCTGCAGACGCTGGTGAACGCCGTGGACCAGCTGCTGGCCGACGGAATCTTGTGCCCGGTCCTCCGCAACAACGCCATCTGCCAGGGCATCAACGCCACCATCATCAACCTGCGCCGCGGCCTCGTCGACTACTCGCTGTGCTACATCGTGGGCGGCCGCCATGGCCCGCTCCTCTACTAGAATCGCCCCCGCCACACCCCGCCCGCGCACCCATGGGTAGGTCGACGCCCGCGCGGTGATGTGGGCAGTGTTTTCGTTAGATTTAACGCAGAGTCCTAGGCGCTTGGTGAGCGGTTGGGTGCCAGAACCATGCTAGGTACTGTCAATGACATCTGTAATTAATTTAGTAAAATAAAATGCATGAACCCTTACTATTTTTTTCAAGTTTAGTTTTTTGTTAATTGAAAGTAAATAAAAATATGCAAAAGTGCCAATTTTTAATTGTGTGATATATTCAACGCTCTAAACTCAAAAACAACACACAGTACAGAACTCTGTCTACAACAGTAAACTACAACAAAAAGAAAGTGACATTACCGGCTCGCATTTCGCAAAATAATTCTCAAATTGGCCAACACATGTCAGCGTAATACAGCCACATCAACGGAGACATCTCAGTCCCCAGAACCGACATATACTCGGGCACTTGCGAGGAAAGGAGAGGAAACACTCGGGCTTGGGACTCTCCAGCGTTAAGCAAAGTCCGAGAAGAGGCGAGGTTGGGCTTGAGCTTTAAAGCGTTGACTTCATGGAATTGGAAGATCTGCCTTGATAGAAGCTACGACGTTACCCCGTTAACTTCCTACTGCCCCCATACATACTTTCATCTCTTCTTTCCGTCCAACATTCAAATTAGATCGTTTTACGAAGGAACTAGTTTTGAGATAAAATCACGAAAACTAAGTGTCAAGTCATTTGTTTTCAGTAGTTATTTTAAAGAAATGGAAGTTAATTATTTTATAAATTTGTTTTACGGCAGTGGATTCTCCACATAAGGGGCACATTAGCTGAAGTCTGAATTTCTTGATATCGAGAGTCCGAATAGTGCGGTTCTCCAGGCATGGTCGGAAATCGCCGAGGTTCTCCGAACGCAGAAGTGAATTGGAGTGCTTATCGCGCCGGCAAAAAAAACAAAAAAAAACAAAAAAAAAAAAACGAACCCCAGCGGCCGGTTGAGTCACAGAGAACAGGCTCAAATGCACGTGCTCATGCTAGCAAATACTTCGTGATCTCGAGATATGATGACAATTTATCGCTTGCTTCTTTAATATTGTTTAAATATGCTCACTTTATTGTTTAATTATCCAATTCTTGTTGAAAAATATTTAAAACGTAATATTTTTAATATTTACCTTGATCATCGCCACTTCTATCGATGACCGGAAACTTTGTCACTCTATACAATACATACATCAAATCTCATTGTGAACGTCATATCCTCAGAAGGTCAGAATAATTTACCCTTAAAAATTGAAGTACGTTATAAACAATTAAAAAATATGATATATGATATATATCACGTGATTTCATTGTTATTGATCTCGGGAAATAGGCAAGCATAGAATAATTACTACCTATCTCTCTTAAATTCCAAGATGGTCCATCATTTGCCTTAAAAAATTAACAGTTGTTGACTGTCTCTAAGTAATACAAGTTATTCAACGGAGACAATCCCCAGGAACCAGTGGGATACGTTTAGTTTTAGAATTTTCCTTTTGGGAAACCTAGTTTTTCGTTCTTGCACTCAAGTCGACATTATCAATGCAATCATTATTATATTTTAGACTGAAATATTTGCTCTTCTAAAACAATTTCCTGTTTACAGCATTCTTCCATGAATTCGAACAGCATTTCCGGACACTTCAATAATATGAAAACTACAAAAGCTACAAATATAGTAATGTCACATAAACAACTTAAGTAACTGTATTATTAATGCACTAATTGCAATACAAATAATGGAAGTAAGTTTTTATTAAACTTGTTATTAATGTGATATTAAGGAGAAATTTCTGATGCGATTACTGTAAAATATATGTCTCCAATAAAAAAGAAAACATGACATAATAAATTGAATTTTAATAAAATATTAAATATTTAAATATTCTAATTATGCCCCGAAAACGAGTTAGTGTGGGTGCGGTGTGTTTGTGTGCATGTACGTGTGTATGTGTGTATATGGGTATGTGCGCACATGTGCCTATACGTTTTGTAGTATGGTGCGTGCTAAACTTCCTCTTCCGATCAGATTCAGCAGGGATTGCCCTAGATGATCAAAAAATGCCAGAAACTTATTGAATGTTTTTAAATTATGATTTTTAATCCGATATATCGTTACAGTAATATACTTCTTAGACATGTTTGACAAAATGAGCTAATAAAAAGTGGAACAAAAGATGCAGTATTAAAAAGATAAATAATGGTAGAGTAGACTGTCAAGAAGAAAATGCCATGTAGTATAGATCTTTGAAATTATTTGACGTCACTGATTATAAAAGTTTACTTTCAAAATTGACTTCGCATAGAATTCAATGATCTTCACGTGGTACTCCCCTAAATTAGATATATTTGTACTTTACACATGAATCCCAAAGCGTAGAAAATAGTGCTGGAATGAAAGTACATTATTTTCTCCTCTTTTCAATTTCTTGTCAACTGACTACTAGATCCCGCAGGGTACGATTCAACAGTGAAGTTTTGAGGGTAAACGATATGCAGACGTCCATAACAAACATAAGAACAGTCAGCTTTACTGATGACACAAATATCCCTTGCATGAGAACAATAGTAGAATTCCCAATGTTTTAAATTAGCTGCAGAGTAACACATGAACAGAAAACGAAGAAATGAGGTGAAGTACAGTAACATAATAGTTATGATTTTTTGGGTGTTCAAAACATTCTAACCACGAACAACGAATACGAAAGAAGAGGAGCAACTTCGTATTGCGACCTCTCCTCCCAACTCAATGCTATGCCACTCTGACTCAACCAGTCACTCAAGAGGCCAGCATCAACGGTAAGCCATAGACGGTTCTTGGCGATAATTTCCAGATACGCAAATTGCAAATGTAGGATACCTTTGTTGCTTGTAAACGAACTTACTAGCCTGATCACAATAGAAAAGATAACTCGCTAAAATTGGTAATTTCAGGAACTATATCTGGCTGGGGGTCGAAAGGCAAGAACAAAATTATTCTGACACAGTTATAGCGTCTAAAATCACATCATTCATAATCTTTCTCAAATCGAGCACAAAAGCACACTATAAATATTACACACAGAATACACCAATAAATTAAATACGGAATGTCGAAGACGACGTACAATATGAAAAGTAATTTGAGTAAGCAACAACAAAAAAAAAGTATTTTAGATTTTTTAAACGCCACTATGTGTGTCACAACTACACAAACCTTTTTCCCATAGGTTCCTTCTTCGCCGTAGTTTCAGTAAAAAAGAAAAATGATAAAAATTGTGGAAAGTACCTTTACATGAGAATAAGAATAGTGCTTACTCTCTAATAATGTTAGATTACATAACTTTCTAAATATTCAACGTCTTTTATAATGATTTCGGTCTTTCTTTCATGCCGATGGTTAATTACAATACTTAGATTAATTTTAAATGATAATGACATAATTAGGTTAATAAATAAATTTATACCCAAGTTTAAGTTTATCTTCCCAAATGGGATTTGAATAAATACTCTTTCTTTTATCGCTCTCTCAAAAATCTTTAGTGGCATTAAACAAAATTACTCTTTCTATTTTTGAATTCTTGTTGAGTTATAATACCATCCCTTCTTTCTCGTTCTACACCACGAGCATCTGCCCCGTCCCGTGACATTGGCAGACGCTCCTCGGGCGAGCACAAAATACGGTGCGCCTATTTCCGGCGAATTTCCAGGGAGCGAATGGTGGGTGCGTTGAAAATTATTTTCTTATCGAGGTACCGCGTTCTCCTGCAACCACACATCTTCCCGAACTTTTGAATTTTCTTTATCTCCAGTCCAATTTTCTTCTCTATGGTGGAAATTCATGATGCAAACCAAAATTTGTAGTCTGAGTGCTGTGATGAACACGTGGTTGCTAAACCCACCGGCTACCACTTTTTCGGGTGCCATATAGTACATTTCTTATGTTTGGTCTTTTCCCAATCCAATCAGGGTATGATTCAAATAATCAGGACAACTGTGAGATTAAATTCAAGAAATAAGAAAAACAGTAATAAGTCAAAAATGTTTCGTAAGAAGGAATTCATAAGCAGATCGTAAGAAGTCAACATCAACCACCGTCAAAATAGTTATTCAACTCATTTGATATGATGAAAATCTTCAAAATTAGTCTTCTTTATAATTTAAATTTATCTCAACATGAAGTAGAATTTCTGTGCGAATAGATACCTCACTTGATAAACCTTAGTTTTTTTTCAACACGTAGATGGAATTCGATTACACTGCTGTAAACTGATAATGTAGAACTTCGCGACGATACAATTCGCAGACTATCATTGTATATAAACTATGTGATCAAAAGTATCCGGACGCGTTCAACATGCTGTTATGGTGCGGACTTGTTTTTCATAGAGGGGGATTGCACCCCTTTGTTCTTTTTTGTGAAACTATCACGGCACAGGTCTACATTGATGTTTTAAACATCTTCTTGCTTCCCACTATTGACGAGCGATCCGGAGATGATGGCATCGTTCAACACGATCCAGCACCTATTCATACTGCACGGCCTGTGGCGGAGTGGTTACACAACAGTAACATCCTGTAATGATCTGGCCTGCACAGAGACTTGAAACCCTATCGAACACCCTTGGAATTTTTTGGAGCGCCGGTTTGTGCCAGGACTACCGACTTACTTCGATACCACTCCTCAGAGCAGCACTCCGTGAAGAATGCCCTGTCATTCCCCAAGAAACCTTCCAGCACCTGACTGAAAGAATGCCTGCGACAATGTAAGCTGTCATCAAGGCTAAGGGCGGAACAACTTCCTATTGAACTCCAGCATTACCGATGGAGGGCGCCACGAACTAGTAAGTCATTTTGTCATGTGTCTGGATACTTTTGATCACATACAGTAGTGTGTGTCCGTCCACGTTAGTAACTATCAGTTGAATTTGTTTTATACATTTCTTCGGGCCAGACGCCACTCGATCCACGTCGTGACATTCGACCTATCGATTTTCGATACTGCACTAGTCATAGAAGAGAAATTGTTCAGGATACTAAGCGTTCAGTGTTCTTTCTCAGGCGACGGGAGTGTGTCATAATACTACAATGTATTCTGGAGGACCGCCGTTAACTCCCATTGGTGTTCTCTGAGAGTCGTAATGGCGTATGCACGAGGCTACGAATATCAAAATGATGTGCCCTGCTTTGCTGAAGATTTCTTTTATCACAATAACCTATTAGACAGGAAAATAATTATATCTTTTCCCGCCCTGTTTGGCCTAATTCTATCTAATCTGGTGTATTCCCGCCCAGCACTACTCCACCCTTTCCCAAGCCGTTTTGTCTTACCCGATCCTTCCCTGCTTCCCCCTTACCCTACTTTACCTTGTTCCCGTCCCCAAACCCATGATTTACATAACTCACTTCTACCCAAAAGATTTAACAAATCTCAAACTCTGAATTTGTCTTAAATTCTTTTTCTTAAATTCTATTTGTCTTAAATTAATAAAAATGCATTAAAGTTCAGCTTCCAAGTCCCTTGAACTCTCTTCATCGCAGGCCTACTCATCCATCTAGAACTCTAATTTTTTTCTTTTAGATTCATGAGCAGGCCTGTGATGAAAATAATTTAAGAGAATTGGTAGCTGAACTTTATACATTTTTATGTTTATTTTAGAAAAATAATTAAAGACTTCTATCACGTCTCATTTTCTTGAAAAAATAATTATACTTGGCTTTTATAAACATTTACAATTTTTTCAGCGCCGATTTTCTTCCCTCCATGCCTTGCCATCATTCAACCATGGTGAAACCTACAGAAACCCCCTCTGTGACACCCCGTCACCGTCGCTCCCCCCCCCCATCGCGATCTCTACCAACAGCACGGCGCGAATCCTTAACAATCCTTAATCGGCAGGCAGTGCGTCTCAATTTTTCTTTAATGCGTAGTGTCGTGCGTGCGCGGATACAGGGACAAGTGTATACAGAAACAGTTCTAACAGTTGGTTTTTCTCTGAGCGTTTCGTGCAACATGGTTTCGGGTTCGAGAAAAATGAACGTGAATAATTGTCATATGACTTTTTGTACATACACGGTGAATATAGCATTATTAAAAATCGCACGAGGAGCATTACATAATATGTAAGACCATTCTATCTTGCGTATTTTAGAAGGAAAGTCTGAGACCAGGATAAATCAAAATTTGTGTGCAGTGTCTCATCGATACACGTTTCTGGCTGAAGACTGCTTTAAGATTTGTAATTTCTATGACCTGGAGGTAGCCGATAAACCACTACGATGAATGTCCGTGGGAATAACCACAAAATCAAAAGCTAATCTCTTCACCTGATAACATTCCATTGGCCACATGCCCCTTTCTCATGGACCTGATGTACCACTGCCTTCACCTCCAACTGAATTGCCAGGCATCACTTCCGTCTTCAGACTCGGAACATCTACAAGTTCAAGGCTCCGGTACCGAATTTAAGCCCTCCGGAGGCGATTCACACTTCTTTCAGGTAAAACAAAGATCTTGGCATTCTCTTAAGAACTTCATGATCTGGGCCTTTCAAAAGAGGCAGCTGAATTGCTGTATTTCAGATTAAAAGAAAATAAAAATTGGTCAAATGGGCCTCTTTTTTGGTACAGGTATCGACAAAATTTGTTAAATAGGATTGGCTAACACTGACTGTTTATGAGACCGAGGTAAATGAAAATCAGATTATTGAGAATGCACTGAAGCGCCTACCGAAACTTCCTCCTCTTAATGTAATTACTCAACTGCTCAGATTTAACAAAGAACATATCAATTAAAGAAAATATCCAGCCACAAGAATCAATGTGGTAAACATGCCCTGGAAAGTTGGGGACATGTCACAAAAATTTGAACTGTAAGAAAGCACGCCAAAAATTAGATCTGTAAGATATCTATAGATGTCGCTATAGAAAAATTCAAAACGTCTTATGAATTCTATAGGCGAAAATAGAAAACCCCAAAACATTGTATGAAGTCGGTCAGTATTAAATATCAAATGTTAATGAAATAAAGGTTCTGAAACAATATAAATGCTATTCACTGTAAGCCAAGTCGGAACAGGTTTCTGAAAATGTAATTGAAATGTTACACATTTACCAAGATCTGTACATATATGATACAAGGAACTATGGCACAGAAATGGCGCTGTTTACTTTAAAAAATGTAATTGACCACATACAATTTTAATTACTCGAATGTTTTTGTGGAAGGACATCCGCGTCCGATAATTGTCGGTCAAAGAGCATATATCCACTCTCACTAATCTTTGTATTTGAAACACTTCGAACTTAGGAAAACACTACTTTCGCTTCGCTAACATTCACCTCACATTCACTAAGTTTTCTCGAAGATGAAATTGAATGAAAATGAAAGCCGATCACAACGCACACAATGAAGTAATGAGCAAATGACGGCAGATATGGGTCCATTCTATTAATTTTATGATTTTATTAATAATTAGTTTATATAATATAAAACTTAAATACTAGCAAGCGATAATACACCTCGAGCTCAATGGATTTCATTTAAAGCAAAAATCACGAAATGTGGCTGAATAGAAAGCTAAATAATATTTCTGAACCAAAACACTTGTGCCTTTAATATAATGATTTTGCAATTTTCTAAATGTCAAGGGTGGTGTGTATATCGGAGCTACACCATACCTACGAGTATAAAAATGCACTTTCTTCTATTCAATCAATTTAAAAAAATCAGCTATTTTTCAGAAAAAGTTGAATATTGAAAATTTCACCGGGGCGTCAAATAACCGCACCCCCCCCCAAAAACTAAAACAAAATACTTAATGATTTCTATCACAGTACAACTATACCTTCCCCCAGGGATATTAACCCGTTTTGAGCTCAAAAGCTTTTAATGTGATAGTTACGTATGATACACCGTCCATCCCGATTTTTTGGGTACAAAATTCCGTGCATCTCCTCTTCTCCTGCACTCATCTTAACCTTCTTTGAAACAGTTGTAATAGTCTTTAATACTGACGTGTGAGTAGAGTTACATCTTAAATGAACCTTAAATGCGGATTTAGTGAACAGAAATTAGAGATCGTATTGTTGAGAGTTCCGCTTTAAATAAAGGAAAAGTAATGAAAAGATCATATTAGTTAAGCGTGGGTATACTAATTATCTTTTTTCCTGATATCGATAGGTCAGTAGACGGAGAAGAAAGTAAGATCCTCGAATGTATGGAGGATATTTTTTTTTTATTTTCTTGCTGTCAAGTTTTCGTGGTTCTCTTCGAGGACATGGAGAAACATGGACACCGAAAGACGGTCACGGGACACGGACAGACCTTTTGCCGTCAATCGTCAATTTTGTTTCTAAGGACCCACAAAACATACAAGAGAAGTCCCGAAACATCATGAGATAAGACTGCGAGATATTCTCGGAGTCTTTGTAATTCCTTTTCATCTGCCTTCAATTGGTGGCCCTTCTCCATCCGTTATTTTGTAAATTTCTAATATTCGTAGCACATATAACGAAAATATATAACAATTCTATCAAATTTCAATACCCTCCGGTATCGTCCTAATGGATGGAATTTTTTGTTATGAAAGTGGACAATGTTCGTTCATACAGGCATTGGAATGTCAATTATTTGTAACGTTCAGGGAAATATGAATATGAGAGGGAGAATTTAAAAATCACAAATGTGGTACGTAATCTATGAGTTTATTTAACAGTAGTACAAACTATATTGTAATGTGTAGTCTTGTTATGGGTTTAATGAATGATCCTTTTTACCACCCAATGAAATTATAAATAATATTTTCGGAAGTCATAAGTATGACAAGAAAAGTATATTGTCACAAAGTGCAGATCCAGGAAAGAAATAATCATGTCCATACACTTACGACCATTGAATTTTGTTCATTTATTTATCCCCCTTCCAGAGCCGATGCTCCCAACTGCCCTTATTTCATTCATTGAACTCTATTTATTAACAATTACCCGACTCAGTTGATGTTCAAGCGAGAACATATCTTCTCCCGTATCTCCCTTCTTTTCAGGAACAACAGAACTCGTTTAAAATGCAGACTTGTCGACCTCCACGAAAGGAGATAGGATAACAACGGAAATTCATCGACCAGTAGTTGCAGTTATGTAAAATTTGAAAAGCGACAAATTTACTTTACGTTTGTTATCGCTTTGTACACGGCCCTGCTATTAGTTTATCAGATTTTCGGAGATTGTTTTAGATCAATATTGTACCATCCGCGGAGAATGTTGCAAAATTAAAATAGTTGCGGAAACAATGAATTAATGTCTCTTTCCAGCCGAGAATAAGCACACATGGATCAGACGACTAGCATGCGATAGAATTTTAATGAAGGATTATCTCGGATGATCTTCGAGCAACTTGTAATGCATTATCGTATCACAACGTGAAAAACCCAAAATATGTCGTTTTTTATGTAGTCAGATCTGGTCCTGCGTACCCACAAAATCAGGCTAGCAACGTATACTTTAAAATATATAGAGATAATGCAGGGTGATTACATTAAAATCGACATTAAGTACGGAAAAATTAGCACGTAAACAAAAATTATTATATTATTATCATTTTTATTATTAATATAATATATAATTATTTTTATTATTAACATTATTATTATTATTATTATTATTATTATTATTATCATTTTTTGTCGTGAATTGGTCATCTAGGACCACGCGGACATACCCCTGTACTCCCTGATCCATTTCCCTGATACATTGAGCAAATGCTGAGATGGCCCTTTATTTTGCTTCTGGACATAAATGTAGCTTCACTATGAGCACGTTTTGCGGAACTCCTTTTGTTTGCAATGGTAAGAGGAGAGGTAAAGGCGAGTTGCTATTTTGTTAGCAAATACAGAAAAAACATTCTTGCAATTCGTGTACCGATGCAAATAAATTTTCTGTAACTCAGAAACTAAAATTAATATTTTTCAAATATTGATAATATTGCTATATTAAAATTTTATTTTTAATATTTATTTTTATTCATTTATGTTTAACTTTTACTCATCTTTCAACTATTTATAGTTAATATGGCGGGAGGGATTTTGGAACTCAAGAAAATGTGCGCAGATAATCTTCTCCCTCCTACGTCACATACAGTTTTACTGTTTTTTGACAAAATAAATCTAAATCTAAATATGTCTCTTAATCGGCGAAAATTCTCGTTTTCCGGCGAGGTGCGTCAACTCACGTATACGATGTCAGCAAGGTGAGCTGACTTGCGCGCTGCAGCATGACATTTACCAAGTTCTAATTGCAATTAAAAAAAGCTTTTCGAATATTAACAACATTTATATCATTGCCTTTCATTTTTAAAGAACCTTATAATGCTGGATAAAATATATACTTCCAATTAAGACAACAAAGTCGTGTCAATATCTTTAAAATTTCGTACGGTACTGACAAGAAAACCAAATATATAATTTTCCCCGTCATTTGAAACAACATGGTGCAAATAGCATATCGATACCTTATATCGTTTTTAAGATATTTATTGTGGCCAACTTAAGTGGTCTACCCTGTATGTATGTGTACGTGTATGTTTATGTGTATATGTATATGTCATCTATGAAAAAATAACTTACAAAAAATGGCTCATGCATGTAAAGAAAATGAATGGCTCACGAGTTCCACGAGTAATGTACTATTTTATCTCTCAAGGAAGAGGAGATGTTGGTCGACCACCCAAGAGGTGGAAAGTTCAGTAGGTGCAATAGGCAATATTGTCTAGACATGAAAAAGAAGAAGAATTTCCTGTCACGGACATCATCGTCCAAAGAACGTTTTCTAAATTTCAGATGATTAAAAATTATTTACGAAGTTCAATGAAACGTCTGCGTAATTTGAGTGTTTTTTCAATTGAGTATGAAAGAACGATGTGTTTGAAAAATTGTTTTTTATGGTCATTAAAAATTTCGTAAAAGCGAAGAAAAAAGACCAAAATTTGAATTTGAAATTATATCATGAAATTGCAAAAATGATAATACAGTTTCTGTAATAATTTATTGTAATAATTGTCTTCACTCTTAAATTTCAGTTTATAATCACAAGATTAATACCATACCATTAATTAGCGGCCCTATACTGTGTCGTTCCATGGGGGTCCTCTTACGGCACTGCCACTAAAGAACTTTTTAATTTTGAATAATACACTCCGAAGGCCGAGGTCATAGTATGCGGAAAAAGGTATGAACCTTCGACCAAAACAAGTCTCCCTGTCGCATAGCTGAAAGTTATTTTTCTCGCACGATAACATATCAAGAGGTATTCGTCCGAGGTAGATCTTTTGACGTTTTTAAAAAATGCGTGAAGCAATCAGGCGACAATCGCTTAAATACAACTGGTATCACGTTCGAACACGCCAAGTTACAAACAAGATACTTTATCTACTAGCGTTGCGTGCTAACATTGGAATATAAGGGCATGCAGCGGTGGAGTGTCTGTGGCAGCCCGCTCCCGATCCCGATCCCATCTGTTCCGCTCCGCTCCTCTGCGAACCGTGACAATGAAGATCGCGCTGGTGCTGGTGGTGACGTGCGCGGTGGCGCTGACTGGCGTCTGGGCCCAGAAAAGCCCGCTGTGCCTGCTCGTGGGGTCGCTGGTGGACCTCATCTCCCTGCTCCTCGTCCAACAGCTGCTGTGCACGGTGACGGCGGAGGGCGGCGCCTGCCCCGGCCTCAAAGCCACGCTCGTCGCCCTGCGCGCCACGCTCGTCAACGAGACCGTCTGCCCGCTCGTCGGCAACTGACGAAGGCAAGCAGCGGTTGTAGGTGAATAGCGCAAAGCTCAATAGCACTCAACACGATACGATACAATTATAATACATAATTACGAAAGAAGGGTTGCTATTATTATTATTATTATTATTATTATTATTATTATTATTATTATTATTATCATCATCACATTATTATTCTTTTAGTACGAACAGGTTCAACCTGCATAGGATTTCAAAGATGTTAGGAATTCTTTCATTTAGCTTTCTCCGGTTATTAATCACGTCAATGGCACTCTGTACGTTTCGTGTAACATGTATTTCCAGAAGCCTTTTTGATTTTTCAAGTAACGTGAAGATGACCTGGCAAGCATTATGCTTTAACTGAACATTTTTACCCAATATTTACTGTTAATGGAGACGGCAAATACTATTATATTAGTATTATTCCAATGGATATTAGTCATTACTAATTAGTATTTCAATTAGTCTCGGAAGGAGTAATTCGAAACTGAGTCATACGAGCGCTACGAAGAGTGCAACGCATATTTTCTGGTTAAACTACAAGTCGTGAGCAATATGCATCGTTAACTCACGGGATACTTCGAGCGTCGGTACCCGCGCCGTGGAGCGACCTCGAGATTTTCTTTCTCTTTTTGTGTCACTGATTATTAGATGAGTAATAATCACAAAAATATTAACTAAGTGTTTGTTTGTTTCGTAAAAGGAATGGTGCAAATTACCTACTCATTCCATTCCTATTTCTGAATTATCACTTCGTAAGTACGTGGTGTTCACGCACGCAGTTCTAGGATCATTCAAATTACATTAAAACATTATATTGATTGGTACAACATAATGTAAAACCTTCCCAGACTCTCACAAAAAGTTAAGGGCAGGAGTTGAACTTGTAGCACTTTCGAGGATCTTGCGAGCCGCTCTTTCCCCCGTGCACATAGCAAATGTCTTTAAACATCCTAAATTGAAATTTATTCGCCCCTTTTGTATAAAGAAACAGTCCAAGTCAATTCAGTATCACAATAATTCAATACGACCTGTAATTTATTCTCGCTTTATCTAATAAGTCTTGCTAAATCAATTTCACCTCGTGCATACATTTTGTGTTTTGTGAGACTCCATGTGAGCATTCGCGCTCATTCTCTCGCGCCATTATCATTAAGTTTATGGATGCGCTGCACATTAATATAAAAGCCAAACAAAAATAGTAGTATGAGATAACAATGCCCAGTAAATGATGTGAACCGAAAATCAACAGTTATTCACAAAACTAACTTAATGCCTTTACAGTGGCTCCTAAGCATATGGCGCCATGTAGGCCCCACGTTGCTCCTAAAACATTTTCTCCGCCTTTTCGTTACCGTCATCGAATTCATTGGCAAAAGAGCGGAACCGAAATTACTCACTACCAATCTTCTAAGAAAAACAAGTCTTTCTTAACTTTATGTAAACACTGGGTCATACAAATTGCAAAAGCATTCTGTCAACAATATTGTGTAGTAGAAGACCGATACAATAACAATAAACATCACATGTTTAATAACTAAATAATGCTACCTTAAGGATGATTATCTTCGGAAATCGGCACATTCCGACATTCTTATTATATTTTACACAAATTTCGAATTTTAATTCCATCATTCTATCTTCATTTTAAACTTTTATGTTGATGATCTATCTTTTCTCGCCTCAAAGTTGTCGGTTCGAGAAGCGAATGGAAAATTAATGAGGGTGGTTTGTTTCTCGACTCGACAGTAAATATTTGCACGTACGTTGGGTACCTTTTTTGTCAAAACTCGTACATAAAAATAAATGTATTTTCAATTCAATGTTTGGTTCCTATTTCACAAAAGATCTCTCTTTAAACACAGTCAAGTTTTCCAACTTTTCAAAATTTAGAAAGAGATTCTTCTTCTTGTTCTAGGAATGCACTTCAGTATTATTCCTTTTATTTAAATGTTTCTTTTGTCTCAATTCCATTAATACATTTTTATTAATTTTAAAATTTTCTATTTAACAGGACCATTTAGTATATTCATCACCGCCTTCTTGAAGTAGCTGCCACTGCACTAGCTCCTTCAACGAACATTGGTGTTCGCTCGTCATATTGGTCAACTCAACCACAAACGACAACAACTACACAACAAATTAAATATACCCTTACGTTTTCAACAAGCCCTTTTGTTGCTTTTTTCCTCAAAAGTGTTTATAAAGATATAATTGATCAACTCTACTCAAATATAATAGTATTTTAAATAGTTATTAATATTAAATACACTAATTCAAAATAATAGGTTTTGCAAAATTATTTTCCAATTGTTACTTTTATGGAGATACATTGTAAATAAACATTTTCCTTTCTACGTTGTCCCTTTAATATGATTATTACTCCTGAAAATTGTGTTAGCTCGTTGGCTAGTTGGGTTTGTAATACTTTTGGATGGGCAACTTAACTTCAAAAGGTTTTCGATCATATGAAGATGGTAAAAAGTACTTGCGAACAAAGTAATGTGTTAACATGTTATTGGTAAATTACATTGATTATTTTTTTCTATTTAAAAACAAATTAATGATAAATGTCTAGAAATAAAAATGTACATTTCTGAAAATATGAGATGAATGTATAATTGCATATACTCGTATCTCAGATTGGAGGCGCTTGTGTAACATTGTGCGGAGTAAATCTGAAATGTGCGTCATTGAAAGAAATTTCTAGAATAGAGAATATAAATGAAGGTCAAATCTTTATTACAACTGGCCGCATAATGGTGAGACTTTCGGTCTGGGACGTCATTTCGCTTCTGCCCCGAGCAGGGAGACTCGAAAGCGAACGTGGCCGCATCGTTAACGAGGTTGTCCACGCCCGCACCCTCGCGATGCAGTTTAAAGTGCAGCCTCCCAAACCTGTGACTCACACAGAAGCGCCCCGCCCCCTCCTCCACACTGCGCTCGCAAACTGAAAATCAACGCCCCCCCCCCTCGCTAGCCCCCTTAAACACCAGGCATTACGGTGACATCATCGCTGCCGCTCACCCCGCGGGGCGCCGCGCTCCGCCCGCCAAGGACAATGCGGGTGATTGGACGATGCGAAAATTAAATTGAACGCAGCAGTACAAAGAAAGGGATGAGGAGTTACCAGTGAGGCTCGTGATCTCCCGCTGGCAGTTGTCGTTTAGAATAAGGCGGTGTGTGAAAATAATCTGCCGTGTGATTGCTCGACATTAAATTTATATCCAAATTCTGATCAATGCACTTGATTACATTTCTGTTTCATTTGTCTTCGTTTAATTTGTATTATTTATTGTTTTAATTTACTCACCAGCACTGAGCACTTGCTAAGATTCCTGCAGTAGACAATTGCAGATACTCGATATACCGGTGAGAATTGTGAGATCTAGTGCACTACGTCGTTTCAACCGCAAAATTCGTTTGTGCGTTCTTTTACCTAATTGTCACCTTCTCTGAGAAAAGTGACATCGTATTTAGTTTAGGTCAGGTCTGCTCAAGTGGGGGACCTAATTGGCTTGGCCCAGCGCCTGTCTGCGAGCAACCGACGTGGTCCGCTGCAAGTAAGTCTGACACGACGGGAGAGGGAGTTGAGTGATGGTCGTCCGCGGTCGGCTCTAGTCTAGTGAAAGGCGAGTTGCACGCCGGCCAACCGCAGCTGTCAACCGCGGACAGTCTGGCATCTGCGCAGACTAGACTAGAACTCAAGACCATAAACATTACCGGAAGAGTGCCAAAGAGCGTCAGTCTTAGGAGGAGAAAGTTGATGATGTGTTGGGTCATTATATCAGTGTTATTACATTATTCTTCATAAATGTAATAGTGGAATAATTGAGTGTTAAACTGATCTGGATAATACATCGGCTCTCAATCTGAATTAATGGTCGCCCCTAAAGTCTGCTTTACATCCTTCTTTTTTCTTCATTTTTTGTTTGTACTGAAGAGGGACGTCCAGACAGAAATCTGTACAGAAAAATGAATCATGCGTCATTATTTTCTACAAAGTCCAGGTTGCCTACCGCGCTCCAAGAGACACTTCACGTAACGTTTTTTCTCTAGCTGTGCTTCTGCGATTTGTGTTGTGTAGTTTTGAGAGCGTTTGAGGGTGTATATACTGAGAAGTACCTAATAAATAACTTCCACTATTTAATTATTGATTTTATTCTGCCCCAAGCTGGGCATTCATTTGAGAAATATCCCCTTTCCTACTAAAGTTCTAATTATATTCTTGTTCCACATTGGCCGATTATTTGAGACATTACACGATTTCACTAATTTCATTATTTATGTTCCCCAGTTAATATTACATTTATTATATTGATTAATTTTTCTATTACAATCTTCATAAAAGTGCCCATTCACATTAGAAACCAGGGTCGACATATAATAGTAAAATAAGTAGATAAAGTATTGACGTTCGACTCTTTACAGAGCCGCAATTCCTGGAAGTTGTGTATTATCCTATTATTCAAAATCTGATGGTAATTTCTACAAATTATTAGCCGTTTTACATGTTTGTCCTTGAGCTCATTAACGACTTGAACTATTCTTGAATTTGTACATTCACAAAGTCCGTATGCTTTTTCCTTCTCATAAATATTCGTAAGCTTACGAAAATATCTTCTACGCCGGTCTTCAAGATGTCTTCCGTCCTGATGTCGTCCAAGGGAGTTCCTCGTGGTGCGTCTGCTATCGTCGTAATTTCTGACAGCGGGAGAATTTTTGTAATATTCACCAAAAATCCGAACTGTTCGATAATATTTTATAATCCAATCTAATTAATAAATGCAGTCCTCGAAAGCGTCTTTCCCTTCCTGCGACTCTGATCAAGCGCCTACTCTCGACTGTCGTTTTATTTAACTTAAAACAATTTATAATGTTCACTTACGAATCTATTCTACACTACTTCCCCACGTACATAGTCTATCACGCATGAATTCCTAAAATCACAAATGACAACACAAGCTAAAAATGATACTGACAAATTACAAGTTATATTCTACACGTAAAACAAATCGCTGAATTAAAGCAAGTTTTCGGTTTCCTTATCAAACTGTAACCCAGTCTAAGTCTGAAAAACCAATTCTATCATTTTAGACGGTCACTGATCAGACGATAATTTATTATACCAAATTCTAGCATTACTATTTCCACTGCCCACTCTGCATTTGTTGAAAGTCATGTTCCCGGAGCCTTGCTTCGCGAAAGAAATGTCACGTCCAAGCACTCAAGATCAGAATACTAAGTTTGTTGATACGTTGTCCTGACGACGTGTATTCCTTGGTCTAGACTATTTTAATGCATTTTATATTGTCACAATCATGCATATTTCCCTCTTTTGTTTATTTATTTTATTTACGTCAAAAAGACCGTGAAAGACCTACAAATGTTGTTACATCAGGCACACCCTTCATTTTCAATGGTGTACAGAGTTGCTTATTTTAACTGGAAAACTAAATTGAAACAGTTTTCTTTTCATTGACTATTAATTTGTTATTACGGAATCAGTTTGAAATATTTGATATTGTACTATTTACGGCGTCTTTATATCAAAGAATATTCGTATCATCCACAACGAGAACTGTTCTTCCGTCTCTAATTGTCGAGGGCATATCGTTTACTTTTCGTAGGAAGAGAATAGGGCCCAAAATCAATCCCTAGGGGACTCCAAATGCATTTGGCAAAGAATCGGAAAGTCGTGAACGTAATTTAATAATACATTTTAATAGATTTAATAGTACTTCATTAAATGCCTTGGGGGGGTTATGGTATGTTACAATACGTGAAGTTATTAAGTGATTTGTGAAATGATAAGGAGAACGGTTGTCAGCAACAACATTACTAGACGACCACGACCAAATATAAACTTCCATTGGTCGTCCATTCTCCTCTGCTCCTTCGCCCATTAGTTGTATCCCAATAGTTAGCGACCCATGTGGTTACTGCCAACTCTCTCAAAACTCTTCGAAAAACTCATTCTAATTCGCATCAACAATTTTTTCCCTCTCAAGAAACTAACACCATCCGTGATGTGCAATTCTGATTCCGTCTACAGTTTGGCTATGCGCACCAGCTTCTACGCGTTTCTGAAATTACAGCCCAATCCTTAGAAGAGAAAAAAATACACTGCAGCTCATTACTATTCACGAGCGTTTTACCGAGTGTGGCACGATGGTCTTCTGTTTAAGCTTAGAACAACAGAAATAGTAGACTACCTTTTCTATATTAAAAATAATTTCCTAAGCAACAGATCATTTTCAACAAGTAATAAATAACACCGAATCCCAAAATTTCAATATCGAAGCTGGGTACCGCCATTTCAAATATACAAGAAGCTCTAGAAAAGTCTTCAAATGGTCGACGTATTGGAGATTAAGTTTGAACCCATCAAGTTGTGAAGCCAAAAATGTTTCCCCTAAAACGCGCCCCTTACATTCCCTCATTAAAGATATACAATAATTCCCTCTTGAACACCAAATCCAAGACCAATAAATATCTCCGAACCCTACTAGATTGACATGGAAACCAAACATTTTCTCCCACTTAAATGTAGCGCACGCCGCCCTCTGTACATTGTACTCTATGATAAATAGAAAACATTCCCTGCATATAAAAATATTATTTACACCTCCATAAAGCCCAACTTCATTCCTAACTTACTCATGCCAAGCGTAGGGTGGTGCAACATATTCACCCATTAAACACCTGCATTTTTTAAAATGAAGTCCTGAGAGCCGTAATAAATGTATGGTATGTCTCCAACAACCAAATCCACCAAGACCGCAATTTCCCAACAATTTCCCAATACAATGTTCACATCTCAGAAAGGTTTTAACTATAAGTTACCTAATATTTATTTCCAGAATATTTTCAACTATGAAACCTCAACTAACACGAATCCTCTCCTTACTTCCCAGGGACAAATTTCGAGGACCTTAAATCACCAAATTCCTAATTCATAACATTTGTACACTAATACAGAGAAAAACTAACTGTTCGATTAACTAAAAATAAAGAAAAATCTGTACAGCTGGGTGATTGAAGAGGATGGGAGATGGGGCACCTACTATGTAAAACTAGGAAACAGCAATTCGTACTGTGTTTATAACATATCTGTGAAGTGGTTAATAAACTTTATCATAAATAATAGTATTCGAATACACAGCATTTACTGGACTGTGATATGAGCCCGTTGCGAGCTCAGCCATTACTTCATTTGTAGATGAGATACGATGCTAATAGGTGTGACGCACAACTGTTAGCGCTTTTTACGGTGTCCGGAGGAAATAGTTATACCGCGATTACGTACAAAAAACTTAATGACAGAGTAAAACCCTCAGTCCCGTTCATCCATTTTCGATACAGTAACAGTTTCACGTAAGATAAATGTGCTATCCATTTTTCTTTCAGGAAAAGGCCGGTGTTTGTATAGCGGGCCTAAGAACTCGACTGCGCGTTGGTGTTTCGTCCTCGGAGGAAGTCAGACGCACGTTTTGTCACAATATTGATTGACAGTGATTCTGGACGCGTCAACTGACGTAAGTGCATGAGATTCCCCTCAGGATGAGGCGGTGACACTCCCCCGTTGGATGGTAAGATTACCGACGAGGGATGACCTACACGACGGCAGGGTGTTCCCCATCGAGGTTTCTTCCTCCAGCGAGGCACCGCCCCAGACTGAACAAGCTATAATCTCTCGATACGCTGCCGGCCGGAACGCGCTGACAGTCTAAACACGACTTTTGGATTCTGTATTTCTAATTTGGGATCTTGAAGTTTCTATACGGTTTTTTAATGAGAATCTGTACGGAAACTTTACCGCGTAAGAGGACCTTTAGATACTGTCTTCATTACCTTCACTCTAGGACCACCACAGGGAAACGCTGAGCCCTTTCATATAGAGCCACCGTTGAAAGGCAATGACCACGAGAGAGAAAGTAATCGCGAGTTCTACCGCTCTGGGCTTCGGCGGCCGCAAGGCAGACAATAGGTATAAATAGGTTCAATGACCTAGTGTCAGTGATCTGGTGTAAAGGCTGCTATTTACAACACTCTTCTGCTGGCATTGGCCCGGACGCGCGTCTGCGTTGCAGGAGGCGGGAACTCGCCACCAAGCGCCGCAGCAGTGCGACTCCGCCACTCGTGTGAATGCCCTTTTAAACCAATGCTTTACCAGCAGGCCGCCAATCGACTGCCGGGTGGCGCCGTGTGTAGGAACCCTTTGATCCAGGGTTCGTTTGACGAAATTTGCTTCTCTCGTTATCCTGCAACTGTCATCTGCGTTTGTATACTTTTGTTTCTGAAACAACCTGTCCGAAGAATATACTGTTAATGTCGGGGGAGGGGGAGGGTCGCCTGTGGAGCGGTGCGAAGCCGAGTGACGTCGCGATCAGCAGCTCCCCAGCAACCCAGGCGCTCCCAGGGGGGCGGATCCCCCGCCCGCAGCCCCCCACCGCGACCGGCGGCTCCCGGCAGATGCGCCCCGCCCCCCCGCCACGAGGTGCTCCCGTGGCGGCTCACCCGCCGCCTGCGGGATTTGCCCGCGGGACTCCGGTCGCACAGA